TTCTAAGACTGAGTCAACTCTATTGCTTGACACTGACTTACTGAGTTGTGAATCGCCGGTTGTAAAGGTATTGGGTGTTCAATGCATTGACTTTTCTGACCACCCGTTCCGTCTTCCGAGTCTTCATCAGAACCCTGGTCACTGTGACAAATTTTACAGGTACTTGGTGATTTAAACACTGGACTGAAGCTAGGTATATTGTATGGCTTATCTGGATGGTGCTCTGCTCGTAGCCATTCTCCTGGGTTATTGATGGGGCAACCTTCCAAGTACGATCTATAATCTTGCACAGAGGTGTCAAGGTGTTTACAGTTTGTCCATACATGTCCCACTAGACCGTAGTTAGCACATGTTCTTGGTAGTTGTTCATAACAGAACCAGAGCCACACTAGTTTACCACTGTAGATAATAAATCTTCCTTTGTACAAAAGCTGTTGAAGATCTATGATTATCTTTTTCTTGACATAAAGCCCACGTTCCAGATGCCCTGTTCTTATCTTCTCCTTATTTGGTATCACTTTTCCTACATATTGGGCTAAGAAGCTAACACAACCATCTTCCACCATACCTTTGGGGATCATGTGAACTTGTAACCATACACGTTCTTTCCATACCTTCTCTATTCCCCTTGTAAATGAGTCTGACCATTCATCCAGTAGTAACCAACTAGATTTGTAGAACCAAGGCCCTTCTTCGAGAGCCTTCTTTTTGTCTTCTAGACTTTCGAAGATAAACTCCAAGTTACCCCCCTCAATAAATCTCATAGTTAATGAGGATTTAATATTCCATAGGTTTTTTATATGTCCTTCAAGTATTTCTTGGGAGACCTGTTGCCTAGGGAATACTCTCCCCTTTAAGGTTAACTATGAGATTCGAAGAGCTTCTTCCACCGATTCAAAGGAGGGAAACTCATTATCCATGTGCCTAGAAAATTCATGCATGCATTGGTTACCTTCCATGTGGGGAATATGCTCAGGCTGCAAAATCACTTCCTTATCCTTCGAACTTGACGCCATCAACCTTTACTGCACTTGATGTTGAGGTTGAAATTGTTGCTTCCTATAGGTATAAATGAGCTCTTTTTTGAGATAGTAAATAAATAGTAGAGCATGCTATAGGACCCTAATGCTAAGCTGGTAGGTTGAAAATGATGCAAGAAATGGGAGAGGAAGGAAATGAGGGTAGTAGGCAATTACTGATTAAAGGACTAAAGAAAATTCATGTTTGAAAGTAGATTGTATGCAAGGTGTCGTAGTTACAGACGCAATGTCGATTAGCAAACAGACACCGATTTTATATCATGTCCTAGGTATACATCGGGAACATCTCCTATACTTATATTTATAATTATGGAAAGATATTTCCAATGTAGAGCGGGATGTGACTGTAATGTTAGTGTGAGGGACCAAACCAGATGAGGCTGGATATGTTCACTTCAAAAAACTGCCAACACATTCCAACATGATCTGTCTTTGCACATGACAAACATAGTGGGTAGGGGTGTAACTTGGGCGGGCTCAACTTGGGTGGGATCAACTTGGGTGGGTAGGCTCGAATCTAGTCCTTAAGGTAGTCAATTATACACATTCCTAGATACATATTTATATATGTAAATTTTTGTATACATACATACATACACATATATATACACACATACATACTTGTATAATTTTAGATTGAGTTCATTAACCAACCCAAGGGCATCAAATTACAATGCAAGTTGGGTTTAGGTTGAAAAGATTGGGCTTGACCTCAGGCTCGAGCCTTAAGCCCAAATTTTAAGGTTGGCCCTAGGTTGACCACAAACCTTACTCAACCCACGCGATTTGCACCCCTAATGGTGGATTCCAGTTTCATGATGATGTGCAAACAATCAGACATAGATCATGTTGGAACCGTATTGGAACAGTTTTATTATGAGTAGATCCCACTCCAAACAGGATGAGCCAGTGCAAGCCAAACATAGTCATACCAATTGGATCAAGCCGGTCCAAGTAAATGATCATGTCTTATGTTTACAAGGGAGAGAATGTATTTGGCGGCATTTGGTAGGGCTGTAATTGAATCAAGTTCTAATCGAATAGTTCATGTTCAAGTTTGATTATGTCGGTTCAAATTTGTTTTTAATCGAGTTCAAAACTCGAGATAAGTTCAATTAGTTATTTGAATTTGAATTCAAATTTGACAAATAAAAGTTCAGCTTGAAATTTCGTGAATTTGGTTTGATTAATATATACATATACATATATTATAGAATATAAAAATATATTTTATAAAAGACATTATAAAAATATATTTTTATATTCTATAGAATATAGGAATATACTATATATTATAATATATATTTATAAAATAAAAAAAAAATATATTTATTTTTGAGTTTTCAAGTTAAACTCGAGCTCATCAAATATTTAATTGAACCAAACTCAAACCAGGAAATAGGATTCAAGTGAAATTCTAACTCGAACTCAAATTTAATAGTATTTTAGTCGAACCGAGGCCATAGTATTTGATATAGTAGCCGTTGCCTGAGGCAAGGATTTCAATTTTCACATGAAGAATTGGATCTATATTTTCACACCCACCTCATAGCACTTGTGCCCGTGCATCTGGAACACCTCCCCAACAATGAAGATGTTCCTTATTTCTCATGTGTGACTGCAACGTGTTGTAAAGACAATATGAGGACCAATTTTGCCAGTGTTTTAAGACTTGGCCCGGACCAGACGGTTAAACCATTAAATCGATAATTAGTGGCCATTTTGAGTCCCGGTTAAATGACAATTTTGGCGGGTTGGACAGACAAACTGTCGGTTAACCAGAAAAGCCAAAACCGGAGAGCATTCCAATTTTTTACTCCAATCCGAGTCTTACAACACTGACTTTGCACAAATTTTTAAAGTTCATTTGTTTTATTTGTGTGGTATTCATGTTCAAGACACATAGGTGTCAATAGGGTGCTCATCAAAAAACAAAGAACCAAACCGAATTAAGGAAACCAAATAACTGAACTGATTGATTTGATTTTTATTCGGGTATTAATCTGATGTGTGTATGTTTATAGTATTTATAATACAACTAGTGGGGACCCGTGCGATGTACGAGCTTTTTTAAACAGAAGTGAAGTAATTGAAATACATGAAAAAGTATTCCATCATAATGAAAAAAAAAAACCAATGTAACCAATATAATAAAACAAATATAATTCAATAAGGCATTATTCATGTAAATAGGAATTAGAGATAATTTAGGAGAAAGTAGGGGATAGTGGGAGAGGTAGTTTAGGAGAAATTTTAGAAGAGGATATTTTTTAAGTTATTGAGAACATGAGAGAGAGAGAGAGAGATTTTAGGTAATTTTTATGGGGAATGAGAGAATCTCATTGGTTGTTCCAAAACTGACATGGAATAAAAAATCAAAAATAAAAAAAAAATGAGAAAATATCTAGGCTGTAGTGTTTTAGTATATATATAAATAATATTATTTATAATATAATATATTATATATCTATAGTATTTATATTATATATTTATATATTTGTTATATTATATATTGAAAATATTAAAAAATCAAGAAACCAAATCAATCAATCAATTAACTAGTTGGTTTCAATTCGATTTTGGTTCCCGATTTTTCAAAACTCGATAGTATCGGTTTGGTTTCAAAAATTAGCTCATGGTTCGGTTAACCAAATCGGGAGCACCCCTATTTATTACTCATTAGGCACCACTTAGGAGAAAGTGCCTTTCCTAGCAAGAAACATGAAAAAGACATTTTCCAAAAGAATGGCTTTTTACAAAAAATCAAGATAAAGGGTTGTAACCACATTTTACTTTTATATTTTAAGTAGCCAATCAAACAAGAAATTGCTTAAAATGCCTACATAGTGATTTCTCTTGAAATGGGTTGGACTTGGATTTTTTGTCCTTAACGGTCAAGGCTAAGCTTGAGCCTAAGACTTCAGGCTTTTTTGTTTTTTGGGCTGAATCTGGGCCTAGCCCTTTAAGTAGCCCAAACCCAACCCAATTATACACACACACATATATATATATATAATATATCCATGTATAATTTTATAATAGGTTCATTGACCAATCAAAACCCAGTTCGAGCCTAAACCTAATCCAAGTGCATCAAATTACAGTGCAAATTAGGCTCTGGTTGAAAAAGTTGGGCTTTAAACTCAAACTCGGGCCTGGATTGACTATAAACCCGGCCCACCCCACCCAACTTGCACCCCTACTTTCCGCTACACCCTTTCACATGGAAATGGACGCGCGGTTAGTGTACTGGCTACACAAGAAACTGAATTCATAAACCATGAGCAGAAGGCCTCCGCAGGAAGTCAATAACGAACCAGTGGTCCACGTTTGGGAGTTGAGATCACTAACGTCAGGTGATAACATGGCTGTCGCCAACATGGCCGTACTCTTTAGAGAGTTCAAATCAGCCCCCCACAATGTTCCAGAGCACATCCTGCCGTGTATTGGAAACATCTCCCAATGATGATATCATATCATTTCTGATATTATCAACGGGAGATGTTTCTGATATTATCAACGGGAGATGTTCCCAATAGACGGTAAGGATGTGCTGTGGGACGGGGAGGGGTGCGGATTAGCCCCTCCGTGGCTCCGTGCAATGCAAGTATGCAAGGGCCGGAAGGGCCCTTTATTAACTCGAAATCCTCTTGACGGCAGGCGCAGGAGGCAAAGAGGGAAGAGTGGAAAATGGATAGAAAGCTCAATTTTTTCATCCACTTGCATAATTCAGTTCCACTGTTCAGTAACTCCTCGGACAAAAAGAAAAGAGAGAGAGAACAAAAACACAGTATCAATCGATCATTAAGTGGGTCCATGGTTTACATGGTTGAAATCATCCCCAGTTGGTTCAACATCCAAAGCAAATGATGGGTCCCGACCGTGGCCACCTAATTTTTTCTTCTTATTCCGTAATTCACAACTATAGATTTCATCATTAAAACCCACAATGAAAAATGGTGAAATTGAATACCAAAAAAGGAAGCAAACGCATCTATAAGCTTACTGAGTTGCAGAACTCTTCTTATCAACCATCTTTGCATTATCAGTAAATACCTACACATTCTCTCTCTTTATTTTCATGAATTTGGACAGAAAACACAGTCAAATTGAACGACTGTTATACACAAACGGCGGGCAGGGAAAACCTTGAGTTCTTTATCCATGACCCAAAAATCATGGCAAAGTTGAAGATATTGGAAAGGTAGAGGCATGCTATTGGCATCATGGCTTGGTCCTGAGTTTCTTGTGATCTAGCATCAATCTTTGGAAAACTGCCTCTGATACAAAATCAGCTTGGCCAATGATAATGTCAAATGGAAAAACCAATCATGTGCTCCCAACAACACGGATATGGAAAGGTGACCCACGACAGAAGATCGGCTCATCAGGTGAATCAGTTTTTGCACGAGCCCTAAGGATGTCATTGGCATCAGCAATAACAGCAGCAGCTACAAGGGTGTACTCACCAGGGACAAGGAAATACAGAGAAAAGGAATGGCTAATTTCTTGAAGTGGGGGAACCTCCACGCATATTTCACTCAAAACACCTTTAACACAACATGCAAATAGCAAATAAGTAAAACCAATGTCATTCCACATATTCATACATGATAATACCAATATGTAAAATATAGTTCCATTCATTTATAAATTCATTATCCATCCATAATAACTTTCAAGGAAATATGACATAAAAGAAATTCTGGTTAAAGAGAAGATGGAGAAGAGGGGTATGGGTTGTGGTGTGTTTTCAGTTGTAGGGTATTTTGAGGGGGCATATGTTCAAGCCTGAAGTTGGTAGGTTTTTCTTTCATTTTTTCTGCTGCAAGATGCAAAGTTGGTTGTCACTTCTCTGTGTTCTGGTGCATTTGGGTGGAAAAAAAAATGTATAAATTTTTTAGAACATTTGCAAGGTGGAGGCGGTGATAGGTTATGTGAAAAGCAATATTTGTTCCTGGCTGCGGGAGAACAAAGAGTTGGTAAGTGTCCCCCAACCCAGGTGCAGGCAGGATTTGATCCCAAGTCTCCACTACGACCAGCAGGAGACCTTACCAACCAGCTGGTTGGCACCTTGCAGTTGATAAGTGTTCCTTGTAGTTTTTCCCCTTTTTTGTGACAAGGGCAGGCTACTTCTGAGATGATTGTATTATGTGTTCTTTTTGTACATTCCCATTGTATAGCCCCTGGATATACATGGGTTTCTGATATATTTTGATGTTTATAATTACTGCATTACCTTGAAGAAGAAGAAGAAGAGGGCATTATAAATATAGCTACATAAGAAACATGAGGAAGTTCTAGCCTTGTGAAATCAGGAAAAAAAATAAACAGATAAACTAAAGGGCAGCCCAGTGCATGAGGCTTCTGCCAACGCAGGATCTGGGGAGGGATAGATAAACTAAAAGATATATAATTTCTCTAGAAAGGTCAGGAACCAGAAAGAAGTTACATTAGAACCATACCAGCCCATAGGACAGTAGCTTTATTACCCTCGATGCAGCTTTCCCCTGCCACATCTCTGCAAGTAATACTGAGACTCATCCTGATGATTTCTTTTGTGTTATTGCGAACAAGAACTTCCAAAGGAGTCATTTCATGTGCTGGTACAGAACCTTTTTCCCCTGAAGAACTAATTCGAATGTCAGATTCTTTGGGTGAATCAATCTTTGCAACAGATCCATTACCATTTCTAGCAAGCCTGAACCCAAAGGTTAATGGATCTGGCAGTAGGATGTCCATAACCGATGTTTGAAGAGCTCCTTGTACTGCATCTTTAATATTCAACTCCCCAGAGCTGTTCCGTCCAGATTGCCACCTCACCTTTATTCTAGAAACCAAGCTCTTTATAGAATTATTCAACTCAGCCTTGGTGTTCTTATCTGTGGAACTTGAACTTCTGCTACTGAGAGGCCCATTTGCTTGATAATCCTTTGCAAAAAAGGATCCATCAAGAATAGGTAACTTAAAATGTTCCAGTGGTATCAGTACCCTTGCAGAGCAGTCCCTATCAATTCTAGTTTTTGGATATCCAAAGTCAGCAGCATCACGATCGACAAAGGTTGATTTATCCTCATCATTTGTACTTTCCAGCTTGACAGAAACACTGATCTCAAATACAACATCAGTTGGATTAGATAGCTCAAGTTCAAGAAGCCGAAGACCCCAACTCCCTCTGTATGGATCAATTTTTACCAAGCTATCGGTCTTACTTTTTGTAATGGTAATTTCATCTGTAGAATTATCCTCAAGATAAACTGGTTTTGGCATATTTTCACTAATATGCGCAGGAATTTCCATTGAAAGCAGACGAGCCTTCACAAATGACAATCCCTGCTGAACACAAATATGCAGTGGAACAACCAACCTTCTGCCTGGAGGCATAACAGAGTCACTTGTTGAGGTTTGGCCAGGATACTCCAACGGCCCTGACAAGAAAAAAAAAAGTTGAAAATTTTAGTACAAAGTCAATATAAACTACCATAAGAAGAATACAAATAGAAATTTTAAATATTTCAAGCACAAAGTTCTCCTTCTAGAAAAAATTGACACCAGTATGCAACAATGTAATATTAATTTCCTTTTACCCCTTTAAACTATAGGAGAAAAGGAGATTTGGTCATTCCCCCACCCAGAGGATGGGGGAGGAACATATAACAACCTTACCAAGCAGCAAACAGTAATATATTGTAAACCCATCATCCCAACCTGATACAGAACCAAAAGTTGAGGAAATGGAAATCATACCATTCCTTCCTCTAGATCTGCATGGGCCTTCTGGTGGCTATCATGATGGGCCAAATAATAATTTTTCACAAATCTGATGCATTCAGCAAATCCAAGACTAGTAAAGGTGTGCCAATCCCTATGCCCTTACAATTCAATTTGATACAGAATAACAATATTGTTTCTAAAACAAACAAAAATATGCTTGGAAAAACAAAAGCAAAAACATGTTACACTTACATAAGGCCAATATGGGCTACTACTTGGTGTATGGTGCACACACCAAAATATACACTACACTATGGATCGTACCAACTAACACGTAAATGTATTTGGGAATTTTGAGTATAAGGTATAAATGAAAATAAAAATAAAAAATAAGAAAGCTGAAATAATATCCATCTGATCACAATCTTTATGTGAATATTGTATGCTTTATGAAACATGTTTTTGAAACTAGAAATTTAAGAACCGGATTCTGGCTTTAGTCTTGGAAACAAGAAATACATTATACAAACAAGAACATGTTTTCTGTGTTTTTGTTTTAAGAGTCAACGCTTTTTCATACTATGCATGGGACTTAAGTTTTTGAATTCAATAGGAAAAGCAATTCACTTTGTATAAAACCCCCTTAGGTTGTGTCCTCATCCATATAACATGCCATTTCAGATGTCCTCAAATTCATACATCAGTCTACCAATGACACAATAGAACATGTTGCAATGGCACACATGCAGAAACAATCTCATAATTATATGGATGATTGGTTGTGTGTGTGTATACAGTGTCGCTTTCAATTTTTTGTGCCATCAATCAGTTTTAGAGATAAAGCAATATCATCACGCGGTGAAATATCTACCTGCATAGTGAATAACCATCATGGGACTGTTTCCATCTTTCGATACCTTTCCTGCACTTCCAGAAATGCTCTTGCCAGCATAATTATCAAGATCCACCAAACCAAGTTGCCAGGCTCTTAAAGTCACTGGGAGTATAACTTCTGCACCAGGCTTCAGAGGAAGGGCTGATCTCAATGTCTCATATGAAATTGAAATAACAGAATCTTGGTTTTTTCCTGACAGTGAAATATGTGCTTGCTCAACTGGCACAGATCCTGCATTTGCAAGACTAATCCATACATCACGAATTTCACCTTCATACAAGATGGCAGCACCATCACCTCCCACAACATGTGACACCAGCAAAGGTAGAGGGGGTACCACAGAAATATTTGGAACAGATACATTTTTCAACTTGGCAGATCCACAGCAACGGAAAGGATCAGAAAGCACAAGTCCTTGTGCTGCACCAAGGAGTAAATTATCAACATCTTTGAAAAGGTGCTGAGTAATAACACCAAAACAATGAACAATACATCCAGGGATTGTCAGTGGACCCACTGCAGTTGGAATCCCTGATAAACTGATAATTTTCGCTGAATTAGGTCGAAGACTGACACTTATGGGAAAAGCATCAAAATTTCCAGACTGGACTGAAAGATAAATACTGTCAACCATTAAGTTGAAGCCACAGGGATTCGCCAATTCCACTAGAACTTCAATGGGTTCTCCAACAACCCATATCAACTCCTGTTTACCTCTATCATTTGGCTCTCCTTTACTGAAAGGAGTGTAAATAAAAGGTCCTGAAGGTGCAGAGCCTACCCACCATTCTTCTCTTCCTCGGTTGCGTTTTACAATGTCCATTTGTGAGGGATGAACAGGAAAGGAATGCAACCTGGAAACAGTAAAATCACAAATTATATTAATACAAAGATTCTATAGTTGGCCCTGTGGTAATCAGTTCTGTGAACAATAAAAAGATAACCTCAAAGAGCATCCTCTATAATTTTAACTTAAAAGCTTTGTATCTCATAACACATGGTTCCAAAAATTACAGAAACCAAGAGGAAAGTCATCTAACATTTTTCTCAGAATGAAGTTTATTTTGACAAAAAAAAAACAACAAACCAAAAGAAAAAAAAAAACTAAATGTAAAATACAAAAGAGAAATACCCAAAAGTAGATTAAATATCCACTAAATTAAGAAAAAACTCCTCATTGCAAAGTAAACAATATACATGAGTCATTACTATTGCATAAGCAAAACCAGAAACACAAAGAAAATATACCATGGTTTTACATTGATCAGCCAATATGCAATATTATCAAAGAATGAAGAAATACCCATCAATTAAAAAAAAATAGAAAAAGTGAAAGAATTTACTTCATAAACACGACTAGGCAAAACTAACCAGGACATGGTTTTCGAACCATCATTGACCCGGACGGCCAGACCACTTGGCCGGGAAACCGTCAAGGCAACCGGTTCCGTTTTACCCCTAACCCAGTCTTATGTCCAAAAATGTTGACTTGGTCAGCAACCCATTGACCCAGGTGGTTGAACCATTGACCCATTTGACCCAGTGAACGGTTTTGACCATTTTTCGTTTCAACTTTTATTTTTTATATTTTTTAAATTGTGACGGACCATCCATTCGGACCGGATGGCCAAACCACTGACCCGGAAACCGGTGGCCAAAGCAGTTCTGGTTCCAGGTCAGTTTTTAAAACATTGAACCAGGATATAAATGATTGCTTAAACTTTTCTTCTGCACTATCTGAGTAATCCAACTACATCATTCTATGAAATAGAAATTTTCATCATATCAGTACTATAAAGAAAGCACTGTGTTTGCCCTAGGCTCGTGAAAAGGGAAGAGGGTTTTCCAAGCTGAATTACTTTAGTTAATTTTCCTCTCACATTGAAATTGCATTTTCCAGCCCCTTCTACATGGAAAAAAGTGCAGCCCTAAGAATAAAAAGATAGTTTTTTAGTACAATTGTAATAAAGTGTTAAAAATACCTTATGAAAGGTAGGGCAGGATCAGCGCAGCGAGTTCCTGAAGGAAGTCTCTCTGCTGAATTCACAAGTGCGCTTGCAAGTCCACTTTGGCCAGCAGGAGTGATCAGAGGGTAATATGATCTAAGTAGACGAGCTGCTGCACTCCATGCAGCAAGAGGATCTCCGGCACGAATAGAAGATTGAAGTATTTCTCTCAGTACAACCATCTGCAGGGTGCTCCACTGCGATTCAAATGATGAAACAGCTGAATGAGACTGCATTTTTCCAGTATCTGTATGATTTGGTCCAGTTTCCTATGAATAAGAATAAAGGAAATATGAAGGAAATAATCAAAACAGGACCTGTAATAAAAGGAATGAGACCGAGGTTCAAAATATCGACTTGTATCTTTGCTCACGTTTCTTTTTAGTTTTTCTTTGAAACTGGTTCAGAGGGGTTGGTTTAAGTCTACCCCCTGAACCATGTCAGACCCCAAAACACCCCCTGTAGGGGCGTATCAGGAAGCCACTGATACGATACATATCGGAATTTTGAACCTTGAATGAGACATATAGTTGTCAACGCAACACCTAGGCGGGCACCTAAGTGATAAGGTATTCTTGGAGGGTTGCCTCACCAAACGCCTACATATTTATATGTCACCACACAATGACACAATATTTTATGTTATTAATAGTAGTACAATAGATATTATTAGACTAAATTATTCATATTGTGGATTTATAGTATTAATATTGTTATTCTTATAATTGTTTCTTTTTGTTATTTTCTTATTGTTTGGGTCCAATCAAGACACAAGTCAGTGACATAGTCCTGGACCCCTTAGGACTTTAAAACCCGAATTGATAAGTAAAAAGTAACTTGAAGATTTTATCCAATTGACACACAAGAACAATTAATAGGACTTCTTCTTCTTCTTCCTAAGACTAAAACAAAGGCTCAACCCTTATGTTTTATATGTTTCTTTCCTTTCTTATTTTTCTAATCGTAAATATGTTGACTTTCTATCTATTGATATGGGGTTTATACTTATTTCATTAGAACTATGGTGATTAGTTAAAGATCACTACTTATTACTAACCTAGAGATATACCTTAGGATTTGTATTTTTTATTTTAAAAAACTCATCACCTAGGTGATGCCTAGGCACCCGCCTAAGGCAACTAGGCAACAAGGTGCTCCCCTATCGCCTAGCTTCGCCTTGTCACCTTGAAAACTATGTCAATGAGATGCACAAAATTGGCATTCATTCAATCTCGGTATCTCATTTAGCATCTTTATTTTATATTAAAAGAGATCTTAAAAGCATCACCCAAAATGTGGATACAAATCAGTTTCATGAAAAATTAAGCAGTTGGGGTAGTTTACTGCAGTAAGAGAGGTGCTCAGATCTAAGTGAAAAAATTGTAGAACAATGTGAAATTGAATTGCCAAAGCACAACAAAAGCGAAAAGCATTAAGAATTTTAGAGATCATGTGAACAAGTTTATGTGCATTCGTGTACACGTGCATAATAAGAGTCCAACTCACTGCTCCCCACCACAATGCACATACAGAAGTGTGGGATCTGGGTGACATAAGAGGAGGGGTAGAAAGGCTGTTGAAACTAGGCAGGGGATGACATAAACCTATGTGCAGGATACCAGGTGTCCGGGCCTTTCGACAAACTTGTAAAACTGTATTTGTATAATGTCAATTTTTCTGTTTAACCCATTCCCCTTAATTCCTAAACTTCAAAATATTGTTTTAAAAGGACATGCCATAAGGCAGTGAGGTATAGACCTCAAGGTGAGACAAGCCAAAAATGACTTGCCTCTATGGCTTTGTAAATTACATATGAGGCTTACTCCCTGACTATTGAGAGACATATGCCTTACATCCCTTCACCTCACATAGATAGAGGTGTAGACCTGTTGTAAAAGGCTACCTACCAACCTACCAATAAAAAAGGGGCACTTAAATTTGGAGCATAGGAGCATCCCTCTACCAAAATAAGGAAAAAAAATTGGGTTTGGGGCACTAAGGCTCAACTTCTAGAACACCAATTATGATCTGCTTCTGAATTTCTTAATATTGATTATGTCATTACCCAAATACTAGGTGAATGAAAGTATCAAGTGTTACGACAGTAATCTATATATGGCATATACATATATACAGTATGTATGTATATATGGAATATATAATATTTTACCACATATATATGGTATGTATATGTGGTATAATATATTAATATTTACACTACTTTTTTTTTAAATGTGATTATAAATTTGAATTAATTTTTTTTAAATATAAATACAATTAATTCGTGCAGGCTAACCTGGATGTTCAACCCGGCCCAACCAAAAACTGGGCCCAAACATGTATAATCAGGCCCGGGGTGCGGGCCAGACCAGGCCCAGGCAGACCTCAAGGCCAACCGAAAACCCAGCCTGACCCAGCACATGATCCTTTTTTTAAGAAGGTAAAAGTATCATTGTATTAATAATACGATAATAACAAAAGGCGTACAAGAGTTTCTGTACATTATTTACACCTTCCAAGGACCCCCAAAAAAGTCAACTCTCAAAAAAGAAGATGAACGTCCCTCCCCACTAAAAATTTTATCTTTCATAATTGAACAGAAAGGTTTATCAATTCATAGCACAAGGAAATACAAGCAGCCCAAGAAGAGGCACAAGATGCTACCTCCCCTTTAATAAAGGGAGATGGAGGATTCCACCTACCCTTTAGTTGATTAAACTAAGCAAAAATAAAATTATAGAGAATTCCAACACCATGGTCCTTGTATGCCACCCACCCACTGAAACCTAACTGTCATATTCCTTGTAAACCAGTTAACTTTTTTTTTTCTTTTGATAAATGAGTAAGATTTTATTAATCCAATAAATAAGAGTTACAGGCAACCCAGGGAAAAGCACAAGATGCAACCTTTCCTTTAAATTGGTCAGAGAATTACAAGTTCAAATAAAATTATAAAGTAGCCCAAAATAAAGAAGCCTGATTAACCCCCTGTTTTGCAAGCGAGTCAGCCATTTAGTTTGCTGATCTGCCTACCCACTGAACTCTAATTGTCATATTCCTTGTTAGCCATTTAACCTTTTTAAGGAGATCTCTATAGCCCCAGATCACAGAATCTGGACCCTGCAACCAACCCGCAATCACCTGGGAGTCCCCTTCAATAAGCAGATGCTCTACTCCTAACTGGTTTGCAAGCTAGATTGATTCCTTGTACGGCAGCAAGTAGTTCAGCCCTTAAGGATTCTCCCAAACCCGCAGAACCTGAATACAAGGATATAATACTACTATCTTTGTTTCCCAGCACTCCTCCTATGTCCGAAGGTCCAAGGTTACCTTGGCTACTCCCATCAAAGTTCAGCTTAATGGACTCCTCCACAGGTGGCATTCATTCTACCTTAGATCTGTTCTTCCTGGTAGAACTATTAGCCACTACTAACCAGCTCCTCCATAGGTCATCGAAGGAATAGGTGTCAAAAAGATTTAATGTTTTCAGCCACTGAATTGCCCATGTCAAAATACAATCTTTAACATCCGAAAAACTTCTTTCTTTTTCACAAAAAAAAATCTGGTGTTCCTTTCTTCCCAAACAATCCACAAAATAGCTGCTCTTATGCACTTCCACAGAATTCTACCTCTCTTTGTGTGCCATTGAGTCATTCAAATGTAGAAGGACTAAACAATAAGCTGATATCAGATGGTGGGTTCCACCTACAGTCTAACAACACAAATATCCAATTTCATAAAGCTGCAACAAAGGAACAAGAGATCAGTAAGTGGTAACAGTTCTCAGTCTAACTTTGGGTTTGATTGGGATTATGGGGTTTAGAAGAGGCCTAAGGGATGCAGAAGTTGAAAATGTCATGAATTTGGTTCAAATATTAAATGGGGTGGTGTTAGATTCCTCTGAGAGGGATAAGAGACTGTGGACCCTAGCTCCCTCCGGGACCTTCTCTTGTGCTTCCTTCTTCAAGTCCCTCTTGCTTTCAACCAATAACTTTTCACAAAATTTTCCAGTAAAGGAAGTTTGGGGTGAGCCAATTCCTCCAAGGATTGGAGCCTTTTGTTGGGAAGCCTTTCTGGAAAGGTGTAATACTTGTGGCATACTCCAAAGAAAAAGGCCTTTTTGGTGCTTATCTCTGAATTGGTGCATTCTTTGCAAGGTTAATGGTGAAAACCCCTACCACATTATTTTCTTGCCCCTTTGTAGTTATTTGGGACTGATTTTTTTCCCTTTTTGGTTGAAGGTGGACCCCAGTGCCAAATATTCAAAGCTTGTTTAGCTCTTCGTGTTCCTTCGATGGCCAAAGAAAAGGGGAAGGATTATGTGGAAGTGTGTGAGGGCTGCTATTTGTTAGTCTCTATGGAAGGAAAGGAACTCCAGAACTTTTTTTCTGAAAAATGAAAGAAGTAAAGAAAGTATTATTGAAGTAATAACAGTTAGGGTGGTGCACTAGCTAAAATCCTTGGACCTGTTTAATAATGTTTCTACAAATATGTTATTGAATAGCTTGATGGAGGTGGCTAATTCTGCTCCTGCTCGCTATTTTGTTTGTCCTGTGTGGTCACCACTAGGATGTGGCATTATAAAGTTAAATTTTGATGGAAGTAGTGAGGGCAATCCAGGTCCTTCAGGTGTAGGAGGTGGAGGTGTGTTCAGAGATAAGGATGGGAAGGTGTTTGCAATGTATTCAGGTCCCATTGGGGTAGGAGACTCTTTTAAAGTTGAGGTCTATGATGTATTGGAGGGTATAAGAAAGGCTAATGAACTAAATATACAAAAGTTAGTCGTTGAAGGGGACTCAAAGTTGGTGTTAAGCTGTTTACAGAAGGAAAGTGGACTTTGGAAATTTGCTAACGAGAGGAGGGAAATTGAATGCAAGGTTCAAAATATCAATACAGGCCAATACATCAATCTTTGCTCGCGTTTTTTTTAGTTTTTCTTTGAAACTGGTTCAGAGAGGGCGGTTTAAGGTCCATCTACCCCCTGAATCAGGTCAGACCCTGAAACACCTCTTGTAGGGGCACGTATCAGGAAGCCACTGATATGATCGTATCAACCGATGTGACCCCATTTGTATCGAAATTTTGAACCTTGATTAAATGACTTACTTGAGAGATGGAAATCCGATTTTAGTGGGTGAAGAGAATAGCAAATGCATTTGCAAATGCTTTGGCAAAGCAGGGGGTGGAAAGGGACAAAATGTTTTGGGATGTATTGTAAGTTTTTTTTGTTTTTTGTTGTCCTCTCAGAGAAAGTTAAGCCTCTTTATCT